TCAACCCTTTCTCTAACAACAAACAAATTATTCATAACATATATGTATATGACTTCATAATATATATACATATAATATATATATATTGAAACTCTTTCTCTACCTATTGTAAATAAAAATATAAAATGAATATCAATATATATGAACTCCGCCAATATACATACTCATTATTTTATTTTAGTCACATAAAGGCATTTGTTTTTATATACATTTTACCATTTCAGCTTAATATTTCAACTTACTCACCCGCGATGACAATGCAATTATCTGGTTCTCATTTCTATTGCATCAAATTCTTAAATAATAGATCGATGAGCATACTTATCATCCCTTGATGTGGACTAGCACTTATTTTAAACTGATTTTTATAATGTTGAACATTTTACAGATTTTAAACATATATATCTGTGTATATATAAATTAATTGTAAAAAGAATCACAAAGAAAATATGAATATAATGACATATTTGAAATATTAAAAAAATATATATAATAGCCGTTGGTTCAAAGCCTCAAAGTTCAAAGGATTTCAAATCGTTCATCCACCACTCTATTTATGTAAATATATATTTATATATTGGCATATTCCATGGTACAGGACTTGGCAAATATATGGCACAGAGCTCCAGGGAATCTCATCACATGGATTAGTGACTATGCCATGGTTGAAAACTCCAGGATACACCAAGAGAGAACCTGGCAGGTTGAGACTTCTTTAATTCTATCCATATAGCAGCTTCAACAAGCTTGTTTTAAAGTGACTCCTAGCTGCACCCCTACAACCCAAATGATGAGAGCTCAAGGAGCATGAACTCATGGAATTTGTGTAATCTTCACACAAGGGGATAAGAAACAAAATGACTCCTCAATCCTTGAGTGTTGACCCATATTATATTATAGGCAGCTGGTTCCATCCAGAGCATCCAATAACTTCATTCCAGAATTTGAAGGGTGCATTGTCAGGTTGGCCTACAACTTCATTCTTGAAGGAGAGATTTCCACAATGATCACATTCTTTAGATCTAATATCCAGGAGTTGAGCTAGGTCTCCCAACCTATTGATTGGGAAGAAACTGATTGATATAGATATTTATAACCAATAGATGATCACATTTTATATGTATAAAGGTTTATAATATATATTTATATTATTATAAACACGAACACACACAGTAATCTTATTTGTTCATTTTATCGGTCATAGTAACACAATGATTCTATAATAGGAATTCTATATCATTATTATAATTTTAGAACTCAAGAATATGCAAATTAGGTTATTCTTGGATCTTTTTGTTCAGGCTTTGAATAGCTTCAGCTACATCTACCACTTGTTAGATTTCTTATTGGTGGATTCAGTACTCTTGAGATAGAGAAAACAGGGTTTCAACATTTCTATGTATTTAAGGGTTTATGTACATTTATCCTGAAGATGGAGGTTGCTTGGCCGGCGGCATCCATAGTTCTTAGAATCAGAGACACTTCGGCCAGAAAACCTTTATTTATATTATCTCGAAGTTTCGACAAAAATCTTCTGTCCTCGTCAGCAACAAATGCTTTAATTTTTATTTGTTCCTGACGAGAATAAAATATTTTTGTCGAAGGGTCGAGATAATAAAAAATATTTTCTGGCCGAAGTATCTCAATTTTTCTATTGTTTTATTAAATTAACGTTTCCTTATGATAATTGATATATGTTTTCTACTTAAACACTCGACAAATATTTATATAATTTCTTTAAATATATTTATTTAAAATTACCCAATATGAGAGAGAAAATATGTCTAGACTAATTTAAATATCACAGAGCTCAAAGGAATTATTTAAATTTATAGGGTAAGATATATAATATTATCTTATAATGGTGGTTTTATTTATTGTAATAAGGATATCTGATTTCACCACTATCGGAATTATTTTCTTTATTGGAAGCAGCGAGGTGGAAAATTGAAGCGTGTCTTTAAACCTAGCAGACAATTTGTACGTGGCAGGTCTAGTGAGAAGATCTTTGTGAATTTATATATATATAAATTAACACAAAGCAATAGCGCGCCATCTATATATATAAAATGAAAGGATTTAAAAGCACGAATGTTTCTTTTATACATAATACAAACTTCTACTGTCCTTACTGCGTGGAAAATATATGTATTGGGAGGGCTTGGCTCATCAGTGGTGGATTAAATTGGCGAAACCGCTGGGAGGGATCACCACTGATGAGCCAGGCCCTCCCAATATATTTTTCATCGCAGTAAGGACAGTAGAAGTTTGTATTGTGTATAAAAGAAACATTCGTGCTTTTAAATCCTTTCATTTTATTTATATATATATATTTTTCGGAATTCTTATTCTTGGCCGATATATGAAAAACTGAGGTCTCTAAGATAGTAGAAGCGCATTAAAAGGGTTCATCACTGATGAGTTAAGACACTCTCATTATTTATCTTGGCCTCCTCCTATCGTTGGGTCAATTTTTCTTCCGTAAACGTGAAAAGTATACATATAGCTGATGGTGAATCTGTCAGAATTTTGACACAGTTTCACCTTATAATTCACAGGATTAATAAAATTGATATTCTTTATAAATATTTAAAATCAAGATCAAATTTAAAAATTACGAACAGCAACAAAAAATATATTTTTTTCCTTTATTATATAACCTAGAAAACATAACAAAACGTTCGTGAGCTTTCGGGATTATATTCAGATGCTCTTTTACAGTTATATAGGCTTTAAATCAACGCTTATTTCATATTTATTACGATAAATGGCGCAGACCATCATCAAGTTTTAGTTACACTATCAGGATATATCTTTTTATTTATTATATTATTGTGTTTTAAAAGTATGTATTTTTGTATAAGAGAGACTGTCTGGAGAAAAGCTTGGAGATGGAAAGCGTAGATTCGCACAATGTTTTCTACATAGTTATAATAATTAAGAAAAAGGCATCTCCTTATCGTGCAACTGAAAGTTGCTGATGGCTGGCGCCATCTATCGGAATAAATATCAACTATTCTCGTTGATTTTTTAATTATTACAGAATTGGCCAAAGTTATAATAATATATAATAATAATTTTAGAAACTATTTTAATGTATATTAGATAAAATAATCCCTTTTATCAATATTAAGGTGGAAATATCTAATCTCCAGGGATATAAGTTTCTTTTAAAAAAAATAATTTACAAATCTCTCTAGCTTTCGGGCATGGAAACCCTTCTACGGTGGAAAAACACGATAAAATAAATCGCCAGAAATTGATAGTGTCGCGTTTTTCTCCTGTAGAAGGCTTCATTTCCCGAAAGCGAGAGCGATTTGTGAATAAAACTGAAAAAAAAAAGAAACCTTGGAAGCTAGATATTTCCACCTTACTGTATATATATATCTGATATTCAGAGCTTTGATGTAAAGTTTATGTGACAGAGACTGCGATGTTTGTGAAGTGTTGCATTGCGTAGTCTTGAAACCTAAGTACCTCCACCCACCGTGATGGAAGGAAAGACAGTAAACTTGGATTTTATTACAGCAGACATCGGGGAATAAAAGTCAAATGTATTTATTGGATCATTTATCAATAGTTGTCATGTTCCTATATTGGATGGATCTCTTTGCCAGATTGGCCGTCTCAGGACGGCCTTTTTAAACTACAAACATGAAGCGTTATATTTAAATTAGATCTAACAGTCCCCCTTTATGGATTGTTGTGAGTTGATAGAAATAATGAATAGTTTTTCTTTAATACATAGTGATTATTTATAACTGAATATATACAAACATAGTAATTGACAAGTTGAGTCATCATCATGGTTTCTAATTAAGAGTATGATGATAGGCAGAGTATACAAATATATTGAGAAAAATTGCATCTCCTGATTATGCAACTAAAAGTTGCTGATGGCTTGCGCCATCTGTTGGAATAAATATAAACTAATCATTGATTTTTACTTATTACAGAATTGACCAAATACCAATAACAGAATTGTTACAAGAGTTCTCCTATGCTCAATGGAACTTATAGGATTGAGTGGTCACTCAGGTAGTCTGGAGGCTTGTGTTGTTGTGAAGACCTGTGAAGTTCTGGGTGGAATGGTGCTGTCTCTGAAGGTTGACTTCAGTCACCAGTACCTCCAAGATTATATTATTGAATCCAGATAGGCTTGAAGTTTGAGTCGTTTTCTTGTTTTGTATCTGGAATATATGTAACGGTATTTTTCGGTCATTCACTTTTCCTTAAATGGTTGATGTATCTTTTTAAAATGTAGGCATCGTTCAATTTCACCTGGTAATGTAGATTTCTCAATTTTGCATTATTCTTCCTAGTTTCCACATAGCTCTATTATTTACGAATAATTGAACTTGTACCCTATCTCCCACGATTAATTGTTTCGATTCAATCTTTATGTTGGTTTCTTGAATTTAATAGTCAACATCAAGTAGATTGATATTGAGGTGTCGAATCCAAACAGTAAGGTATCATATTCTTCATGAACAATGTAGAGTTCTTTATACAATGTACTTCCCTGGTGTATTCCACAAAAACCTTCACTTTTCCATCTGGTACGGAAACATTACCAGTATATGATCTGAATGCTATATTTGAGAATTTCTGATTCAATGATAAGTCAAGAGAACTTATCCCGAGGCATAAAGGTAAATCCTGCACCAGAGTCGACTTCAAATTTCTCCTTTTTACCTTCGAGGTTCACATAGACGAAATGTTTGGCGAGGACTTTTGATATGTCTTGCCTATTTTGAAATATGTCAGCAATTTTATTTATAAACAACACTTAAAGTTTCACCGCATAAGTTTCTTTTCTGTGAATACTTCATCTAAAAAAGTTAGAAATAGTAAACATTTCTCTTTGAAATAAATATTGATTTTTCACAGAAAAGAAACTTATGCGGTGAAATTTTAAGTGTTGTTTATAATCATACGCCGCAGTCCTTTATAATGTATTATAAGTTACTTTAAGTATTATTTACGAACGGAAAAATACGTCCAGGGTAGCCTAGTGGACATGGCATCTGCCCGGTAAGCGGAAGGTTGTGGGTTAGATTCCCGCCCCTGAAAACTTTTATTTTTTCGTTCGCCATTACTCTTCATATTTTCACCCTTTCATACTTCATACTTCGCCATTACTCTTCATATTTTCACCCTTTCATACTTCATCTAAAAAAGTTAGAAATAGTAAATATTTCTCTTTGAAATAAATATTGATTTTTCACAGAAAAGAAACTTATGCGGTGAAACTTTAAGTGTTGTTTATAATCATACGCCGCAGTCCTTTATAATGAATTTTATTTATGCCGTAAGAATCTTCAAGTGAAAGACTATTTTCTGAGTTTCTTGTGTTAGATGGAATTTTCTCTCGGGACTGTTTGGATACATACCTTTTTGATATGTCCTGTTTTCTTGCATGCGGTACATTTGAGTGTGTCATGCTTAGATCTGTGATATTTTGAAATGTGATTATCTCGGCCGCAAGCGGAGACAGAGATCTTTTAAACCGAGTTTTTCAAAATCAATTTTTGGTCTTGAATTTGACTTATTGCTAGATGCTTGTCTACTTTGAGAAGTCGACGTCAAGTTTTTGTGATCATACTTTGAGTGATCCTTTGATATTCTATTGATCTCACCATTTGAATTACAAATATTGAGAGTTTTTGGAAAGTGTTTGACTATCGATTTTTGATGCTTCAAGTGTGCTCGAGCGCTCTTTTTATAATTCCATCGAAATCATTCAAATATGATTGCAATATTTGTTGTCGAATTGATTTGTGATGAATACCACGAAAAATTTTAATTCTCAAAACATATCTGTTTTATTTACAAATTAGAATTCGAAGATGAAAAATTAATTATATTTTTTTCAAGAGAGGGAACTTCCCAACTTATGGCCTATCTATCAACTATACTTAGTCTAGCCATAAATATTGTTACAAAACCAAATCAGTGATAAAAAATTAATTTGACGGCGTTAAGTATTCAAAATACAGTTGTTGTTATTTGATATCTCGTGCACACGTGCTCAGAAAAAAAATATCGAAATATATTTGTTTTTTGATAATGGGTTTGGGTATTAAAGAAAACCCTATAGTTGTAATAGCCTTACACAAGGTAGGCCAAAATCTTTCACCCCTTTTTAAACTTTTACAAAATTTGAATATTACGCGTCAATTTGTTTATCGAATCATTGAAAGGTTCAACAAGGCTTGCACTATTGATGACCTTGAAAGATCTGGTCGACCTCGCATGCAACGAACGCAAGCAGCTATAAAAGCCATTCGCGAAAGAATTCGTCGAAATCCACGCTGCAAACAAAAGATCTTAGCAAAGCAGATAAATTTAGCTCCAAGATAGTTTCAAGGATAATCAACGAAGACCTTGGACTGAGAGCTTTCAAACGACGCACAGGTCATTTGATAACCCCTGCTCTTAGAGATATTAGAAGAGTTAGATAAAAAATGTTGTTGGCGCAGCATGATGGTCGGTGGCATGAGAGAATCCTTTTCACAGACGAGAAATTTTTCACTGTCGAGGAAAATATTAATCGTCAGAATGATAGGATATATGCTCGTTGCTCTCTAGAAGCTTCTTTGAAAGTCAGAAGACTTGAAAAAGTCACCATCCTTCTTCTGTCATGGTTTGGTGGGGAGTTAGCTACCAAGGTGTAACAGATCTCCACTTCTGTGCCAAAGGGGTAAAAAATACAGCTAAAAACTATAAATAAGACATTTTGTAACAAATAGTAAAGCCTCTGAATACAAAAATGTTTAATGGAGAACATTGGATATTTCAACAAGATTCAGCTCCTGCTCACAAAGCTAAGTCAATGTTCCGGAGTTCATAAAGGCCAATGAATGGCTCTCTGGAAGCCCTGATTTAAACCCCCTTGATTACAGTTTGTGGGCATATTTATAGGAGAAGATGTGCTATAAAAGATATCATAATTTGGATAAATTGAAATCAGCATTGGTGAGAGCAATGAAAGAAATACCCTTAGAAAAGGTGCGTGCCACCATAGATCAGTGGCCCGAACGTTTGAGATCCTGTGTCAAAAATAAGGGAGAACATTTTGAATGCTTGTATATATTTAAAATCTATGTCATATTGGCTAATAAAATATGTATTTATATTCCATTAGTTTTTGTTCTTAATCATTTAATTTATAAAATTGTTTGTAACAGAATTTATGGCTAGACTGTGTGTGTATATCTACAGCCTAACTCGAGCTGTCTCTATATAAAACATAAACAATCATGATGATAACCTTTCTTTTTTAAAATTCTATGAATTATCCACAGATTACATCACAATATCTGCAATCGATACCTCACAATCACAAGTTCGCAATCCATTATATTGCGTTAAACATAGCAATGAAGCCAGCAATATTTTAGTTTTCAGATTGATAAGTTTGAAGGCAATGATGTCGCGCAACTACTACATTTTTCTTTGGACACAAATAAACTTCAAAAGTGTTGATGATTTCCTCATATGTTAGTTGAGAGGATGTCTTAGGTAACACCAGAGCTGCTAACATATTATAATTAGATGCACCTATTGAATTTAGAAGGATTTGGGCACATGCATTTCTATTTGAAATTAGATTTTTCACTTCAGTGATTTCAAATATCTGGTGATAAAATTTGATTCTTTTTTTGCGATAGAAATTTTCAGAAGTTTGAGTTAAAACAGGGTTTACAGTAGCCTGGGTCAGGGTAGAACTTTCGATCCTTTGTGATGGCGGATGGTGCGTAGATAATAAGATTTGAAGGAATTGCTGCTGTGGATATTGGAAATCGAGCATCAATACCTCCAATTGTGATTCGCATCCATTTATTTGTTTATTTTTAAAGGGAACAAACAAACACAAAAATCAGGTACTGAAATTGAAATTGGATTTTTGATCGATTAGAACGCGGCGGGTGACGTGGGCAAAAGTAAAGCTTCTAGTTGAAGAAATAAATGGTACCTTGAAATTATCCCGTCGTCACTTGTTGTGTGAGTTGATAGAAATAATGAGTAGTTTAACACATAGTAATTATTTATGGAATATATACAAACATAGTAATTGAGAGTGAAGTTGAGTAGTAACATATAGGTAACCCAGACTCCTGGAGTGTATCAATAGATCGCCAACTACCTGGGCTGTCCAGCGGTTTAGGAGTCTGTCTTGGTAGCCTTAGTGAACCAATTCACCAAGTGTTTCCAGGCCGGTTTGTTTCTTGGTAGATTCAATAGGGCAGTATCGTAGAATGAGGGCAGTCCAAGTAGTGTAGCCGTCTGTAGTTGAAATGCTGGGCAGCTGAGAAATAATTTGAGTAAGCATCATGGTTTCTAAGAGAGTGATGATAAGCAGAGTATCCAAATATAATCCGTTACAACAAGGATCAATGCACGAAGCATGTATTTATATTTATTTCTACTCTCCGAATAAATTATGTTCATAGATCGTTTAAATACATTTTCAAAGAGTTCCTCAACAGTACCAGGTATATTAGCTCAATACAATAGTAGAGATAAGGTAATGTGGGTTAAACTGGCAAACCCTCTGGGAGGTTTCATCACTGATTAACCAGGCCATCTAAATAATTTTATCATTGTAATAAGGACAGTAGAAGTTATCTTATTTGAAAGAACAAACTGTCTCCATCTTATAAATAGTGCATTTGATAACTGTAGAGAGAACTTTAGGACATTTTTATAGGCGTATCAGTTTTTTGCAATGTGTACCTTCTTCAATGTGTGAATAAGGACCACTGCCATCTAAGGTAAAATATACTGTTTAATGTATTGTTTGACCGTATCTTTATTATTATTTTTTTTTGCATTTTTGTGTGCGCATAAGAAGCTTTCGATATATACAAAAACAACAAGCCTTTTATTGGGGACCTATGACATACACAGTATTCGCCAAGGTGCTTAATTGCTTAGAAAATATTAGTTATTTACAGGTGATCGTCTACCCCCGCTTTCGATTTATATTTTTCATCAACTTAATGCAAAAAAATATTGATAAATTCACAAATTTAGCTTTTTTCCTGAATTTTATAGTTCAACTTGTCGAGTTCTCCCCGATGGTCTATTGCCCATATAAGCAGAACACCATATTAGAATACTAAAATCTACTTTCCAAAGAGCCTGCTGAAACTACAATGACAAATCGAAAACGAAAAGTAACCTCAGACTACGACAAATTACTTACATATATAATGCCACTTTAATACGGATTTTAAAGGACCAGAAAAAAAATCTGCATTAACGAACACCATATTAAAAATAATGATAAAATGATGTATTTTTGTAATGGTTATGATGATTTGTCATTCTTTTGTGAAATAATCTTTTGTGTGAAAAATCATTCTTTTGTGAAATAAATGTGTATATAAAAAAACAATAAAAAATAATTAAAACATAAATAAAAATATCCTAAATGTTGATAAAATAATTATCAATACATGTTTGCATATTTTCTAATTTATTGGAAAATCGCCTTCTAGGTTTTTCCAAAAATTGTAAAAACGGATTCATATTTTTGGAGTGTGAATCACAATTTAGAGATGTCACCTTCAAATTAGAGATAGAAACTTTTAAATTTGATTTTAAAGGGAGAGTGATGACAGACTTGTCATCTTTTTCATCTGTTTCTCTTGACGTGATGTCATCCTCGGTTAACATCTCCGCTACAGCTGTTTCTTGGTCAACATTAACAAATTATATTTGTAGAACACAACCTTATTTTATTATTTAAATTTAGCAAACCATCCATTTCTTGCTAAGAAATCATTGTAACCAAATTTGACTGACAAAAATAATTGAATTTTATAATTTGTTAAGTCAAAGGAATATACAGAATTAGATCATTAAAGTTTCTTTAAGTTTATGAAACGTGAACATTCTTAAAAAATGTTTCTAATTGACTCGCTTTGTAAAACCTTCAAAGTATTGGTTTTTATAAATGGAATTGGCAGTTGATGTAGAAAGGTTTTGCAACTTTTGTTTTCGTTTTTTGATGACAATTTCATCGATTATCTCTGACTTTGTTTTCTAAAGAAATTGTGTTTTCG